CTCAGCCACAAGCCAGGCTGATGGCTGCCAGTACAGCGGTGGTGGTGGGAGCCTCTCCTGCCTCCTCAGCAGCGCTAAGGATGTCTGACTGCAGCTTAGGTCTGCTCCCCGCTGGCAAATGGACATCCCCCGAGGGCTGCTGGGCTGCCAGAGGGATGTCTGATTGCCAGCTTAGTCCCAATCCCCTGGGGAGCAGGCCTAAGCCAGCAAGTGGTCACCCCCGAGGGGTCCCAGACTGTGAGAGGGCACAGGCCGGGCTAAGGGACCCCCTACCCCCGAGTTCACAAATTTTTGTGCTCCAGGCCTCTAGTCTAGTTATAATGACTGTAGTTCAGTCAAGTTCTAAGACTGACCTACCACAACCTCTGTTACCTGGCAGGGAGTTCAGACCTTAAAGACCCTATGCTGTTTTGGCTATATTTAGAATAGAGAAGATTTTGGTTCAGTAATTTCACTTCTAGTAATAGATCCTGAACTGTATCCTTAAAAATGCCAACCAAATCCAGAGCACAAAGGCCCAACTGCTCATCAGTGAATCTTGGGGCCCACGAGTGGGTGAAGTGTAAGTGGGCTCTGGCTTTGGGAAGCAGAGTGTGGTGCACTAGGAGGTAGCAGGCACTCTGGGTTGTCAGGACTACGCAGGAAGCATGAAGAAAGTCATGGCATCGGCAATTTGGGTCTTCCTGTCCACACCGTTTCTTCTGCTAAAAGAATTTTGCTGAGAAGTGACATCCTGAAAGTACCCTTGGGGAGCCTTAAGGTGACTTAGGAGAAGGGCCTTGAGAGCCAGAAAGACGTTGGGGTCAAATCCTAGCTCTATCAACTGCGGGGTTACTCTGCAGAGATATTTAACTTCCTCACGGCCCTGAGTTTCAGGTCTAGCACAGGATCTGGGAATATATTTTAAACCAACCTCATATGTAACTTCGATACTAGCACCTGGTTTGGGGCTGTTTCCTAGAATCGATATTGGCCAGTGTGAAGCATGGATCTTGGAGTCTGACTACCTGGGTTAATTCCAGCTCTACCAAGTGAAGAGTTGCGTACCTTTGGGCAAATTACTTCACCCTACTGTCTCAATTTTCCCATCTATAAAATGGGGATAACAGTACCTACCTCATGGGATTGTGAGGATCAAGCATGTTAATTGTGTAAGACATATAGGATGGAGCCACACACCACCACATGAATGTAACTCTAATTATTTGAGAGCTACAAGCCTTTATCCACAACTCCAAAATTAAAAAAAATTCTAAAAATCAAAAAACTTTTCCTACTGTTTAGCAAAAATTAATTTGACACCAAAACCTCATCTGAACTGATGGGTGGCTATTAGTTATTTATCCCTTATTCTGTACACTTAATACACTTAATTGAAGAAATATTCACACACTTGATATGGAATGGTCCTCCACATTCCCCTAGTAGGTATTATCTAATATATTGTATATTTGTATATTTCCTAAAAATCAGAAATGCTCTCAATTTCAAAACACAGGGGTTCAGAAAGGGGTTGTGAACTTGTATTTCATTATCATTTGTTGGCCAGAGACCGTGTGTGACAAACCAGACGTGAGAAAATGTGCCACCTGGTGGTTGAGATGGAGAGCCATGGTTAAAGCTCAGCGGGGTGAGGGGTAAGCAAGGTCAGAGGATCACAAAGTCAGTGCCCTCTGGCCCACGATCCAGAACAATCAGAGGACTGGTCCCAGCCTAGGAAACAGGTTCTAATGAAGCTTTGCTGTTCGACCAAGAATGACACAGACTTCCAAGAAGGTCTTATCGTTTTAATTGACTTTAATGATTATTGCTCATCTGCAAGGATTAATATTGCATTCATTAAAAATCACTCAGTACAAAATAAACTTGTTCCTCCCAAGTTGCTCTCCACATGCTCCCTCTGGGCCAGACATTTCCCCACAGTGTCCTTGTTACATGGCTTGACAAAGACGGAGCCCTTACCTATTGTTCCTATGGACACAGTAATAGATCTGGGAGCAGGGGTGGCCCAGAGGGCAGTAGGACCTGGGCCCCTTCCCTCCAGCAGAGCTGGACACCCCTGTTGGCCAGGTTACTTCCCCTAAAGGATGTGGTGTTCTGATTGGCTGGTTACATGCCCTGGGAAAGGGCTGGAACCGTTAACATCTACAGAGAAGCAAGCATGGTCACACTGGCAAGGAGTGGGGAGAAACAGGAGAGGAAAAGGAAAAAAGTTTGGCAAGACCATTGTCCCCTGGTATGATATTCCTGTTTTAATGTCTGTCTCTCTGATCAATGGCGCGAGAGACGGCAATTCCTAGCACCTCGCACTAATCCTGGCCCAGTTTCGAAGGGTCACAGGCTAGAGCGAGTTGAGGATTCAGGGTCCTGGGGCGTAGATACTTAAAGCGCGCGACCTAAAGCTCACATGACCATGCAGAGACGCTGGAGCAGATGCACGGCACAGGGATGCAGCTCTGTGGCTGCGAGCGCCTCGTTGGGGAGTTCAGAGCGCGAGCCAGCGCGGCTGATCACTTTCCCTCCGCACAAGCTGCCCATTTAAGATCTTAGTTCAGAAAGTTTTTGTGACGCTTGTCAATCAAAAGTGGTACCACTTCTGCAAAACTAATGTTCTATGGGGCCTAAAGTCCCAGAAAGTTATCCGGGGCTGGCCTTCCCTCACCGTGGCCCAATGTGGATGTATCCTTCCTCCCCCCACTCTACCTCCCTTTAAATATGTTAGGTTGCAGAAGCATAGCTGACCAGAAATTTGCTCTTGAGGGATAAATCCTAAAGATAGAGCTCAGTGCTTTATACTGAGTAACGGTTCAAGAAATTCGCCTTCAGCACAAGCTGTATAGGGCAGAGCTGCGAGAATTGGCTGTTATGGCCCCAGACCGCCGAAGCTATAAACTGTGGGCTAGAAACAGGGATTTAACAGAGTTTGAGACCCACATTGCTCTTGACTCAACTCTGCCCTCTTAGCGCCAAAGCTTTAAAAGAAACACTGATACCAACTAGCCACCCAAGCAGTTTCTCAGCATTAACACTAAACATGTGTCTTACTTTTTTTTGGTACAACAGAAATAAATGCTGGGGGACAGAATTCAACTTAATAGAGTGCAGTCTGGTAAAAAATGTGAAAAATGAGAAAGTCTGGTGGGCGTGGAGGAAGGGCTGTACTAATCCACGTGGGCCTATTGGATCTCAACAAGCAACACTCACGGTGCACGTATCTGAACCAGACACACCACCTTCACACAGGAGACAGGGCTGGGACATCTAGGGGGGAACTGACATGCACCACCTACGACTGGCCTACCTGGCTGGTAGGTCCCATCCCTGCTCCCCTGAAGAAGTCAAAGAGCACTGATTCAGCAGCTAAGAAGTGGGCTCTTAAGGCAATTTAGACATTGCAGATTGTTCCACCTAGAAGGCACCTTACATTTCCTGTGAGTAAGGTACCCAGTTAAGACTAAAGTTCCCAGAAATGGTAAAGAAAGACCCCCTTTCTGGGCTGGGAGAATAAAATCCTCCTTTTCTGACTAGGGTGAGGACCCCTGAACCTCAGTTTCACCTAAAGAGCCATGAAGCAAGTTCCTGTGTCGTCTGCAGAACTTGGATGATGAGATGAAAAAACAAAAATGAATTTATAGAAAGAAAAAAAAAAAAACACCAAGAGGAAAGGAATAAGAAGAAAATAAAAGTTATTTAAAAAAGATTTCTTGTCGAGTTGTATGGTTCACGTGGACTGGTCCTTGGTCACATGGTCCATTAGTATCTGTAAAGAGAGATGGGTGACTTAGCACTGTGTCTTCCACGTGGGAGTCCCGGAGAATCAGAACCAGACACACTGCCCGGGTCCCTCCCGGCCAGGCTGGGTCCCTCCAGCCAGGCTGGGTCCCTGCAGTCGCTCCCCAGGAACCACACTTCCCTGTGCTTCCACCCTTTGCTGACAATGCCATCTCTGGTCTCATCTCCTGCTCCCTGATAACAGGAGTCAGTGGTTTTCAACACTGACAGCACATTAGGATAATCTGGGAGCTTTTACAAAACAAGCCCGGCCCCATCCCAGACCAACTGTATCAGAGTCCCCAGGGGTGAGGCCCAAGCTCCAAAATTTTAGGAAACCTTTACTCTTTACATTTGCTAAGAGATATAGCATTTCTCTGCCTACCCTGTTAGTGCGGGCAGAGTTCCTGAACTCGTCCAAATCAGGTATGACGTTAGCTTTAGTTAAGGAAGCTGGCAGTCGGCTTGGTTTAATATCGGGGAAAAGAGCTTTTTCACTTGCTTTCCCCCAAGTTACCTGTAATAATTGGGTTTGAATGGCCCATTTTTGTTGAGTCCCAGATATTTTGCTTGGTCATCCGTCAGCTCTGTCAGGTGGGCATCAAATGATGGCAGGTGCAAGCTGGCAACGTACTCATCTAGGAAGAACAAGGTGGCGGGAGCAGACTCCGTTTCAGACATGCCTCTTGGGGTATGCCCTCCCTACTTCCATCTGAAGCTTTTTGATAACGGACAAGGGACAGAATACCTTTCGGAGACTCTACAACTTGAAAATGTGCTTACAACCCTCGGCTGCCTTCCTAGGCAGGGAGCGTCTCCCAGTCTAGCCAGAGTGCGTCTGGAAAGCCACCTCCGGGATGGCAACAAGGGAAGACCTGGACCTCCCCGTCCTTCTCTGGCAAAGCTTTGGCCTCACCTCAGTGGCATGAACCACTGTAGCAACTTCCCTAACCAGACCAGAGTCACGCGATGAATCACAGTGGGCACCGGGACGCTCAAAAGGGCCTTGTGTCACCAACGTTTACTTAGGGTCAGATCCACCAAGGCCTCTAATCTGAGGATCGGGGGTTTCCAAGGCCGCTGGCACAAACATTACTTTTCCATGATAAACTTCCTGGGCTATACCATATATGAATATGATTTAAAAAACAACAACAATCTCAGGTAAGCTATTGGAGGCGATGAGAACCAGAAGTTTTTTAGCTATAAGAGGACTGACCAACTGGGCTGATCAGTTATAGTTGGGGGGATGGGCACCACAATTCTGGAAGGTAAAGAACTGGAGAGATGTACTATGTCACACGAACACAGCACAGCTGTCCCCTGGACGACAAGAGGCTGTTTGCATAGCTACACAGAGCAGGACAGTAAAGCCCACCTTTGTTCTCTGCTTCTCACTGTGGTCCAAGCTGTACTCAGCGACAGACCGGGAAGTTTACTGGACTTCCGAGGCTGCGCAGAGGAAGAGCACCTGCCCACACCCTTTGTGCTGAGCACTCCTACTCAGTAGCTAGAATTCTCACTACATTCTGCAATGTACGCAGTATTATTCTCACTTTACTGATCAATAAACAAACAAACTGAGGCTCATGGAGATTAGAACTTGTCCTGAGGCCCAAAGCCTCAGTGTGAGAACAGGGATTAGAACCTGCTCTGACTCCCATGCCTTCCACGGTGCTCATTTGACCAAACCACGCCACAGGCCACGACCAACAGGGCTTTCTACGGGTTTCACTCACCCATTTTCTTGGGCAGCAAGTACACGTCTTGCTTGTAGCGTCCCTCGGGTGCATTGTAGAGCTCTATCAGTGCCAAAGCCTAAGTGGGAGGAGAGGGTCAGAAAACACAAATCCTGCGCAGACAGCGACACCGCAGGGCCCTCTCCCGGGACCGCTGCTCTGGGCCCGTCCACTCGTCGCAGTGCAGGACAAGAGGCATGATGTCACGTACCTGTGTGGTAGCCGTGATGGACAGCACAAAGGTGGGGACTGTGGAGCAGCTCAGGTTGAGCAGGCGGCCCTGGGGAGGGAAAAGGGAGCCCTGGGTGAGGGTGCTGTCCCATCACACATGCCAGTCAGCCAGTCACACAAATGCAGGAGGGCCCTTTCTGCCCTGGACTCAGCTGGTGGAGGAAGAGTTCCCCTTCCAGGCCAGGTGTGTCTTGCTTTCTGCAAGTCCTGAGTCTGACTCAGTTGCGGCCAGGAAGCAGTGTGTTATTTAGTCAAAAGTAGATAGTTCTCTGAGTGATTCTACTTTGGGGACCAGACCATTTGAGAAACACATCGCTATGCAAAGACAGAGGCCCACTGTCCCCCCTGCACTCCCCCCAGGACCTAGCTCCACACGTGCACGGCTCTGCCGCAGCCCCGCCGGGCGTACCTCTGCCAGCAGGACGACGCGCTTGCCGTCGGGCCAGATGACATGGTCCACCTGAGAACGGACCCGCTCCCACGTCAGCTCCGGGGTGCGCAGGCTGGTCTGAAAGGCAGACAGCACAGGTGGCTGAATGGCTCGTTGGAAGGAAGAGGGCAAAGGCCCAGGGAAATGCGTGAGAAGCCTCACCACGTCAATTTCCGTGTTGGAGTGGCCCATGTTGCACACGATACAACTGTTTTTCATGCGGTCCAGATGCTCCCGCGTCACTACGTTCTTATTTCCTGAAAGTAAAGGCAGGCGGCTGAAGAGATGCAGGACAAGGCGCTGGGTGCTGTCAGTGAGAACGTGGAGAGGAGGCTCACTGGCATTAAAGGGCACGTACATGAGAAAAGACATGTACGTTGCATAACGAACAGCTCTTCAGGCGACGTTATTGGTGGTAAGACCGCGCAGTGCACGAGCCACGGGGAGAGCTCTGTTCTGAGGACGTGCCAAGGCTCTGAGAGCTCCTCCAGTTCAGAGCCCTGACCCCGAGCGTGGCCTCGGTAAGTGACGTCAGTCTGACCACCGTGGGGACAGCCCGAGTGAGCACTCCCGCAGGACAGCACGGCACTCACCTGTGCAGGTGATCACCACGTCCACCTGCCGGATGACTTCACTGAGCTTTACCACCCGGAACCCGTCCATGCTGGAAGAACAGGAAGGACACTGAGCCAGGCCGGGGGGCAGGGGCCGGAAGCTGCCACTAACTGAGACTAGAAGTTCCTTTCTGAAGTCAGATCCAGTCCACCCAACAGGGACGTTGAGTGACAACTATGCTCAACGACACCCACTGGCCTCCTCAGACTCCCCAAGATTCCACCCAGGAAGCGAAGAGGCCCTGGGATTACACTGGAGGGACAGGGCGACCCCAGTCTCCTCCTCTGAGGACTCTGCAGGGAATGGGTCATGCGATCACTCACGGACTCTCAGAAACAAAGCACGCGGGGTGAACGGAGCACCGTGCTTACCAGGCCTGCAGAGCGCAGATGGGGTCGATCTCTGTGATGTAGACGATGGCTCCGAGGGCCTTGAGAGCAGCACAGCAGCCCTTCCCCACCTGCCGAGCATGAGAGAGCGTCAGGCCTCAGGTCCACCAGGGCCTGGGCACCGGGCAGCAGGCTCTGTGGGAGGCGGGAACTAACGCCCTGAAGTCACCAATCATCTCTCGAGCCCTGGCACGAAGGCTCCAGCCCAGGCAGAGCAGAGACAGGTCCAGACTATGCTGCGACCTTAGTAAAACATTTCCTATTGCATACAAGGGCAGGGCTTGGGACAGTAAATGAGATCAAGGGAACAAAAGTGTTACCAGTAGGGAAACAAGGCCAAGAAGAGCAACTGTAACTCTAGTTTCTTAGTCCAGAAAGACCTGGTCACTCTCATTTGAGATGCATTAAACTCAAGGACAGCCTAGCAGCACAGGAACTCCTGCGGGCCATCGCTGATGACAATGCAATCCCCTTCACCCACCCGAGCTTAGAGACAGGCAACTCTGTGCCAGGTGGATTCCACCCCTCACTCCACTGCCAGGTGCTTGCGGGGCTAAAATGCGACTTAGTCCCTTGAATCAAGTCTCAAAACAGGCTGTTGTTATAAATGGGGGAAATGGCCCTGGCTGGTTTGTCTCAGTGGATAGAACATCGGCCTGCAGACTGAAGGGTCATGAGTTCGATTCTGGTCAAGGGCACATGCCCGGGTTGTGGGCTCTACTTTGGGGACCAGACCATTTGAGAAACACATCGCTATGCAAAGACAGAGGCCCGGGAAACAGGCCCGCTGTCCCCCCTGCACTCCCCCCAGGACCTAGCTCCACACGTGCACGGCTCTGCCACAGCCCCGCCGGGCGTACCTCTGCCAGCAGGACGACGCGCTTGCCGTCGGGCCAGATGACATGGTCCACCTGAGAACGGACCCGCTCCCACGTCAGCTCCGGGGTGCGCAGGCTGGTCTGAAAGGCAGACAGCACAGGTGGCTGAATGGCTCGTGGGAAGGAAGAGGGCAAAGGCCCAGGGAAATGTGTGAGAAGCCTCACCACGTCAATTTCCGTGTTGGAGTGGCCCATGTTGCACACGATACAACTGTTTTTCATGCGGTCCAGATGCTCCCGCGTCACTACGTTCTTATTTCCTGAAAGTAAAGGCAGGCGGCTGAAGAGATGCAGGACAAGGCGCTGAGTGCTGTCAGTGAGAACGTGGAGAGGAGGCTCACTGGCATTAAAGGGCACGTACATGAGAAAAGACATGTACGTTGCATAACGAACAGCTCTTCAGGCGACGTTATTGGTGGTAAGACCGCGCAGTGCACGAGCCACGGGGAGAGCTCTGTTCTGAGGACGTGCCAAGGCTCTGAGAGCTCCTCCAGTTCAGAGCCCTGACCCCGAGCGTGGCCTCGGTAAGTGACGTCAGTCTGACCACCGTGGGGACAGCCCGAGTGAGCACTCCCGCAGGACAGCACGGCACTCACCTGTGCAGGTGATCACCACGTCCACCTGCCGGATGACTTCACTGAGCTTTACCACCCGGAACCCGTCCATGCTGGAAGAACAGGAAGGACACTGAGCAAAGCCAGGGGGCAGGGGCCGGAAGCTGCCACTAACTGAGACTAGAAGTTCCTTTCTGAAGTCAGATCCAGTCCACCCAACAGGGACGTTGAGTGACAACTATGCTCAACGACACCCACTGGCCTCCTCAGACTCCCCAAGATTCCACCCAGGAAGCGAAGAGGCCCTGGGATTACACTGGAGGGACAGGGCGACCCCAGCCTCCTCCTCTGAGGACTCTGCAGGGAATGGGTCATGCGATCACTCACGGACTCTCAGAAACAAAGCACGCGGGGTGAACGGAGCACCGTGCTTACCAGGCCTGCAGAGCGCAGATGGGGTCGATCTCTGTGATGTAGACGATGGCTCCGAGGGCCTTGAGAGCAGCACAGCAGCCCTTCCCCACCTGCCGAGCATGAGAGAGCGTCAGGCCTCAGGTCCACCAGGGCCTGGGCACCGGGCAGCAGGCTCTGTGGGAGGCGGGAACTAACGCCCTGAAGTCACCAATCATCTCTCGAGCCCTGGCACGAAGGCTCCAGCCCAGGCAGAGCAGAGACAGGTCCAGACTATGCTGCGACCTTAGTAAAACATTTCCTATTGCATACAAGGGCAGGGCTTGGGACAGTAAATGAGATCAAGGGAACAAAAGTGTTACCAGTAGGGAAACAAGGCCAAGAAGAGCAACTGTAACTCTAGTTTCTTAGTCCAGAAAGACCTGGTCACTCTCATTTGAGATGCATTAAACTCAAGGACAGCCTAGCAGCACAGGAACTCCTGCGGGCCATCGCTGATGACAATGCAATCCCCTTCACCCACCCGAGCTTAGAGACAGGCAACTCTGTGCCAGGTGGATTCCACCCCTCACTCCACTGGCAGGTGCTTGCGGGGCTAAAATGCGACTTAGTCCCTTGAATCAAGTCTCAAAACAGGCTGTTGTTATAAATGGGGGAAATGGCCCTGGCTGGTTTGTCTCAGTGGATAGAACATCGGCCTGCAGACTGAAGGGGCGTGAGTTCGATTCTGGTCAAGGGCACATGCCCGGGTTGTGGGCTCAATCCCCAGCAGGGGGTGTGCAGGAGGCAGCCAATCAATGGTTCTCTCTCATCATTGATGTTTCTGTCTCTCTCCCTTTCTCTCTGAAATCAATAAAGTACATTAAAAAAAAAAAGAATGGGGGAAATGATACCAACATTCCATCCCATAAGACAAAGTGGTAAAATCTGAACTTGATTCATTTCATATGTCTTCATTCATAAATCTGAATAAAGGACTTTTGCTATTGTTTTGAGATACGTTATCTAAGAGTATTTTAAACCTTTGTCAGTGACGCCACCCTGAGCACGCAGCCTTCACGCGACATTTCTGGTAAGTCCATGAAAAGACAGGCCCTGCGGCCCTGCTAGTTACCTCACCGTAGCCACACACCACCACCTGCTTCCCACCAAACATCACGTCTGTGGTCCTCTTCAGGCTGTGGAGACAGACAGGGCTCAACTCGAACACTATTAGCTCAAACACAGTCCCTCGCACAGAATTCAACGTGGGGGGTAAGCCCACAAGAACTGGAGGCGGAGAGGCGGGGCTCCATAAGGAATTGACCCAGAGGAAGAGCAGGGGAGACGACTGGAGGACTGACAGGGAGCACTGCGGCCCGCCCACGTGCACGCCCGTAGCCTGATATCCGTGCTCTTCAACCTACCCATCCAGAATGGACTCTCGGCAGCAGTACAAGTTATCAAACTTCTGTTTGGTAACAGAATCATTGACGTTCATGGCTGGAACACAGAGCTTCCCCGCTTTGGAGAGCTGATACAGCCTAAGGGAAGAAGAAGCCACAAAAACAAGACCAGTTAGCTGGTAAACAGGACGCGTGGCAAATCTGCCTAATCCTCTCCAAGCTCCATGCTGCCTCCCCAGCCTGACATGCCCTCGGATATTAGTAAACAAATGATTTCCTCGTCATCCCTCCTCACTTTCC